GGGGGGGGGGGGGGCTGCATCGCCCTTCCCTGGGTACATCCGCCCCCGCTGAGCAGACCACTGAGCCGCACGTGTGCTTGCTAACGCTGTCGTGTGCACACGCTCGTGCAGCGGCGCCTCGCACAGTCAGCTATACCGGTGTGCCGGTGAATGTACCCCCCCCTGCTGACGAGGTCCTCCTCATTTCCCGCTTTCTGCTTTGGAACGTGTGCTGCAGATTGGGGTGCCACTGTCGGGATGCGCTCGCAGCCTGACAATGCCTCACCTCCTTCACTGTGGGCGGGGGGGCGGGGCGGCGGGGCCAGGCGGGGGGGGGGGCATGCTGTCACGGCTCAGCAGCCCAGGTAATTATTTCATTCTTATCCTCTTCGCCAGGCCCAATCGTGCCTTTCAATGGGAGCCAGACCCCCAGTGTCATCTCGCGGAATAGTAAGGGGGGGGGTCAAAACCCAAACCACGTCCGGCTTGGGGAAGGGAGGAAGACCGGAAATCAGGGGGATGAACTTGTTGTTTTATATTTTTACAGAGTAATGATTCAGCAAACACATTTATTCACGGCTGGCAGCAGTGCTTATAGAGAAGGCTTTACGGTACCACAGTGGCACGTTCTTCTGTCCCCCTAGAACAGCGCAGGAGCACCTCTGTTTCACACACACTCACGCACACTCACACACACTCACTCGCACACTCACACACACTCACACGCACACAGTCACTCACACTCACACACACACAGAGGTTTATGATTGTACCTTGTGGGGAGACTCTATTTTACACTCTAATCCCAGTATGACGACCCTAACCCCCACCCAGCCCTAACCCTAACCCTAACCCTAACCCCTAACCCTAACCCTAACCCTAACTCTATTTTACACTCTAATCCCAGTATGACGACCCTAACCCCCACCCAGCCCTAACCGTAACCCCCACCCAGCCCTAACCGTAACCCCCACCCAGCCCTAACCGTAACCCCCACCCAGCCCTAACTTTAACCATAAGTAACCAAACAAAATATGAGACTTCTGGCATTTTTACTTTTTTGATTGCATTCATAAATCACATAAAAAAACAGGTTTTTATTACATTGTGGGGGACACTTGGTCCCCACAAAGTAATATAACCCTAATCCACACATGGGGTGGGGGCTGCTTCTGTGCACTCCATCGTTAACACATGCAGACAGCATGGAACACCATGAACCCCCCCCCCACTAATCTGTGTGAATGTGACAGCCAAAAACGCTGGCTTGCTTTCTGCTGTTTTACTCTCTGGAAGCCCCCCCCCCCATAAAGCCCAGCATGGCACAATAGGACCCCCCTGCTGGCACACATCTCTCACATATTCCTGTGATGCACTTTAACCTTTGACCTCTAGAGAATGGTAATGGTGCCTCTCATCCCCGCGTTGTATCTGTAAGTTGAGCTGGTGCCGTTTGCAGGCTGGATGCTTAAAGGTCACGCTGGTAATTAAATTGTGTACCTTTGCATTTTGGGACGAGCCGTTCCGGGCCGAAGGTGTATTTAAATGGGAGCCGCAATTGATTGGGCCAGGCTTTTAATCGGCGTGAGCGTGGGCCCGACGGAGCGACCTGCTCTGCCTTCCCCTGTCCCCCCATTCATCAGCCTGACAGCCAACGCGTCCGCTCACCGCTACGCTGAGCAAGAGGGGGCGGGGCAGCTGGGGGCGCTTTGAGCAGCGTGGGTGGGGGGGCGCCGCAGGGGGCATTGTGAGCGGCATGGGTAGGGGGGCGCTGCTGGGGGTGCTGCGAGGAGCGAGGGTGGGGGTGCTATGCAAGGGGTGCTGCGAGGGGCGGCGGACTCCAGCCACTCTCGTAACCGGCCGTCCACACGGGGGGGGGGAGGGCCGTCCACATGGGGGGGGGAGGCCCCCGCCCTCTCATAACCAGCCGTCCACATGGGGGGGGGAGGCCCCCGCCCTCTCGTAACCAGCCATCCACATGGGGGGGGGAGGCCCCCGCCCTCTCGTAACCAGCCGTCCACATGGGGGGGGGAGGCCCCCGCCCTCTCGTAACCAGCCGTCCACATGGGGGGGGGAGGCCCCCGCGCTCTCGTAANCTCTCGTAACCAGCCGTCCACATGGGGGGGGGAGGCCCCCGCGCTCTCGTAACCAGCCATCCACACAGCAAAACACTGAGTTCATTCAGAAGCCTGCACTCCCACTGCCGTTTAATCTTTTTCTTCAGCAGCTTTGGACTCTGATACAGCTGTACAATGAAACATACTTTAACACTAAATTCTGGATTAGAGGAATGCTTTCTGCTGATAGTCTGCCTAACAGAGAGGCAGCCGGAGAGTGTGGGGCCACCCCCCGCAGCCTGGCCTCCGTTTGATCTCTCCTGCCCTCTAGTGGACATTTGGCAGTAGCCTTTTCACCCGAGGATGTTGCTGTAGGGGTGCACTGGGGTACATGGCAGGGCCTGCTGATTGGTTGCCGCTGAGCTTGTGTTACGTTGTGCAGAGGAATGGAGAATTAAACTGCAACATTACTGGTGAGTGTGTATGTGCATTGGGGTTTTTGTAACTTTTTTTCTTGAGTGTTTTGTTACTGTATATTAATCAGCACTTTGTCTTGTGGCGTTAAGTTGACTGCACTGTGTTCAGTGTCCCGTGCAGCATGTTCTGCGCATGCTTCGTGCTTCCTGGCACAGGCTGCATAGCCGCTGGGACCGTGCGTCAGATAGCTGGTTTGTGGAAGGCAGACGAGGCAAGCGAGCCGCAGCAAGCAGGTCTCTGCCGGTGTGCTGGTACCCGACTCGCCTTTTGCCCGGGTGTTACCCGCGTGCGGCTGCTGTCACTGTCTCCGCCTGCGTTTCTGGTACCCGACTCGCCTTTTGCCCGGGTGTTACCCGCGTGCGGCTGCTGTCACTGTCTCCGCCTGCGTTTCTGGTACCCGACTCGCCTTTTGCCCGGGTGTTACCCGCGTGCGGCTGCTGTCACTGTCTCCGCCTGCGTTTCTGGTACCCGACTCGCCTTTTGCCCGGGTGTTACCCGCGTGCGGTTGATGTCACTGCTGCTCTCTGTGTTTCCAGTGCCATACTTGTCTCTCACTCAGGTTCCACCTCTCTAGAGGACAGATGTGCGGATGAAGCGCCCACTGCTATTTGGCAGGTATCATTTACAGATGACAGTGACAGACCGGCTCCACTTGACCACCCCCCCACCGCCATCCCCGCTGTCCGACAGTTGGCGTTCGTTAATGTGTGACCTTGTGGTGGCTGGAGGCTCGTGGAAAGACGTCAGTGGATGGGGGGAGCAGCATGGGGGTGTCTGTGTCGGGCCCCCCCCCCCATTCCTACATGATCATTCCTATGCCAGTGGCAGCATACACAGCAGAGTAAGCAGCTCTACTTGAGCCTGATCCCTGTAATCTCCATTTATTAATCTGCCACCCCAGCGGATGTTCCTCTGAAATCTGCTGCCTGGGATGTTGACCCCCGGAACCGTAAGGGAGGGTTTGGATTCTGGAAACCTTGTTTGAAGCATCATGTCGCTCGGTATCGTTAGAGATGCCATGATGTTTGGTCAGCATGAAGGCAGAGCTAATGGCCTGTGACTGTTTAACATGCCTGCTGCCTATTGGCTAACATTTAGCATGTCCGCTGCCTATTGGCTAACGTTTAATATGCCCGCTGCCTACTGGCTAACGTTTAACATGCCTGCTGCCTATTGGCTAACGTTTAGCATGCCCGCTGCCTACTGGCTAACGTTTAACCTGTCTGCTGCCTATCGGCTAACAGCAAAGGTGGCAACTGCATTAGAGAGCCTTCATCCCCCCCCTACACATCACTGTGGCCTGAGCATTTGAGCCTATCGCCCCCCCCCCCCCCCCTCCAGCACAGAGCCAGTCTGGGTGCCTTTTCCATCAGGGATGGAAATCGACAGGAGGGTCGATGAGCATGAGCGCATGACCTGGCTTCGTTCCCATCAATGACCTTCGACCCCCGTCCCTGCTGGGTTCATAAGGGAGTCCTGTCATGTGACACCTTCCCCGGCACCCGTGCGTGTGGCAGCTGCGTGTGGCTCTCAGTGACCAAATGAGCGCTCGCCTGTGATCAGATCCCCCATAAATCCCTGGAGACCCCCGGAAGTCTGCGATCCCTGCTTGGAACGTGAATCTGCTGCATGCCGCCTTCTGCTCTGTGTGACAGCTTAACGCAGATAAACAAAACACAGAATTAATCCCGTTAACTCCCCCGGATGTTTGCCGTTTGTCTGTAAACCTGATTGTAAGCTTGGGGTGCAAACATATAACAGTTACCATTTTCAAGGAAGTTAAATCGTTTATATGATTGATTTATAGTCATTTTTGTTTATTGTGGATGGAAAATTTAGAAGCCTGTGTTACATCGGAACATCTCCAGCTCTTAATTGGACAATGAGACCCATTCTGACAATGCTGACATTAACGGACTGATTACCGAAGGATGTGGGTGCCTTCATACACTCCTCCGGAAAGTTCTGGCCTGATAGCTTCTGTCTCCACTGGCTCTCTGCTGTCCGCCACTTTCATCCAAGGCGGGTCGCTGCAGAGATGCACTTGGGTTTTCCATCGACAGTTGACCCGTTTTAGACCCCAGCAGGGGTGATTTTTGTTTGTACTTCTTTGTGAGAGGAGCCAGGTCAGTTCCCTGGTCGCCAGCCCCCCCAAATCGTCACTAACTGCATGTGTTTGGTGTGCAGGTGGAGGCCATCCTGGTCAACATCTTTGGTGGCATCGTGAACTGTGCCATCATCGCCAACGGTATCACCAAGGCGTGCCGTGAGCTGGGGCTGAAGGTGCCTCTCGTCGTCAGGCTGGAGGGTGAGTATGCCGGGGGGGTCCTCAGCAGCGCCTGTCTGCGCTGTGCTCTATTATGGCCCTGTGGGCCGCTGCTTTCTCCAGTGGGGGGGTCTCAGGGAGGTGTGGGATCTTTGTCGGGGGAGGGTCTTTCTCAGGGGGCAGAACTCTTTAAGTTACAGGGCCCTGCTGGATCGTTAACAGTGCCCACACTCTTTCTTGCTTGTTTAATACCCCAGTTCCAGACGACTAAATGACTCTCTTCCTGCACTGTATCCCCATTGCGCCCTACATTGGCCTTAAGCCCGGGGATTAACAGCTTTGCCTGACACTTTACCTGCACTGCATCTCCACTGTACCACACACTGGCCTTAAGCCCTAGGGACTCGCAGCTTTAACTGACACTCCACCTGCACTGGATTCCCACTGTGCCCCACATTGACCTTAAGCCCTGGGGTTGCACAGTTTTGACTGACGCTCTCCCTGCACTGGGTCCCACTGTGTCCCACACTGGCATTAAGCCGTGGTGATTCACAGCTTTCCCAGCTCATTCTTTGGGGGTTATTGCCAGTATGTGTGGTCCCTGGGACCAGCCAGGTGAACCGGATGTGAGATTTTGTGGGAGACGGTGGCCACACTTCCTCAACACTGGAACCATTTTTATTTTACTATTTTAAGTTTAAACTTTTTATGCTGAAGGCATATAACAAGGCCATATACCAAAATTTGCCTTTTTCAAATGCTCACTGCTAGTGAAAGGTCGCAGATTTTGGCTTCTCGAGTGTTTAATCTGAGCTCGAACTCTGCAGTCGACGAGGGTGGCATCAGAATGCGGGATTGCCAGGCTGAATCGCAGCTTCCTTTGTCATGGCGTAATGCCAAGCTGTTCCGCGGAGGGATGGAGCCGGGATTATGCCTGCTGCTGTTAATTGGCCGCGATGTTTGGGTTCGCGAGTCGGGGGGCTTTTCATGAATTCCTTTTGATGAGGCTGGTTCAGAGGTCTGACCCGGGGCCCTCGCGCTCTGTGCTAAAGGCAGACAGGGGGGCCTTTCGTTACTGCAGCCGGATTGGAATGCGCGCTATGATCCGACATCAGCGTTTCGGGCTCCCGGACCCAGCCGTGCGCAGCCGGGTGTAGGTAGGGGCCCGGTGCTAATTATATGATGTGTACACAGACACACACCCACGTGTGCTCTGGGAGGAGCGGCTGTGCATTGTGACTGCGGCGAGGTGTTCATTTGCTCAGTGACTGAACTTTCCCTGAACATTCCCTTACTCCCCTTGTCTTTGACAAAGATGACCGAATTGGGTCACTTGTGTCACTTGGGCTCCTCTTTTTTTTTTTTTTTAAAAGACATTTTTGGAAGTAATTATTTGTATCGATTTGCAGTTAATAAGTCATTTCGTCGCCGTCTGTCTAAATGGAGGCAATTTTCCCCTTAAAAGGGCGTTGGGAGGATATTACGCTTTTCTGTAGATGATTAAAACACTTTTGATCCCAAGGTCAGGCGATAATGACTCCTTGAGTCCTGACAGGGTCATTACAGCTGTAATTGAGTTATCTCCTGCCGTGGGCAGTGAGGAGAGGCTCACAAGCTTGGGGGGGGGGGGGGAATAGGAGACCCCTCCCTTGCTGTTCCCGTTATGATGGACTCTGGGCAGCCATCTTCGGAGAAGCCTATTAGGATGGAGGGCTGTTGACCAGCACACTGTCACTGCCAGCGAGGCGGTGAGTCTGTTCTGGAACATTCCCCTCCGGAGCAGCAGCTGGGATGGGGGCGGGGGGTGTCAGGCTGCAGGGATTAAGACTATGCTGTTGCATTAGTCCCATGACTCCCTCACGCCTGTAGAAGGAGTGGGCTAGAAGAATGTCCTGTACTTGCATTAATAGGTTATACAGACAGTTTTGTGGGCAGGACAAATCGAGATCTTTTCATAAGGACAGACCTCCCCTCCCTCTCCCATTCATGTTATAACTAAAGCAGAAATCTGCACGTTTTATGACGTCCGGCAGCAGTCAGCGGACAGTGGAGGACGTGCTCACTGCCATACCGGGTGGGAACATTGCAGACGGTCTCTAAGCAGGTCTTTGGCAGCACCTAGTGGTGATTGCTTGACTTGCACTCTGTAATCAAACGCACACTGCCCCCACCAGGCCAACGAGCTCACTAACTCAGCCAAGTGTTTGTTTTTTGTCTCTTTTAATGCACACCCATGTTTCTCTTCTGCATCCCTGTGTCGTGAGCTCGGCTGAAAGGGCGTTTTTCTCCGTGTCTCAGTGAGGAATTAGCTTTCGTCCCAGTGCCGTGGTTTGCTGACTGAAGTTTATTATTTTTGCCCTGCAATCGCCATTGGTCTAAATTCAATTAAGTGGGGTGTAACTTAAAAAAAAAAAGAAAATGTGTAAAGGAGTTGAAAGGGAAACTTATTTTCTTAAAATGGGGATTAATATTTAATGCCAAGACAGTGTCAGTGCTCTGTACAGGATACATCTCTATCCTCCCTGGCACACTAATTAAATTAAACACTCCGTCGTTAGAGCTGAGTACCAGGGACGTGTTCTAAATCCTTATTGTTTTTGGACGGATGAATGGCGAGAGATGAGATATTAGCGGCTAAGTGCTGCCGGTAATGGGATTCCCTGTGAAACGGCTATTGATTAAAGCACATGGGCCATGGAGATCTAGGATATCACCCAGGATCTTAATTACGCGCCTGCAACCTGCGAGGCTGATCCGTCACTCCGCTAGGTATTGAGGCATACTTAACTTAACTCTTCGGTTGCGGACAAGGGGACGTGACGCAAATCAGGTATGTGGCTGCAGTCACTGGCTACGTTCGAATTCAGGGGCTGCATCCTTCTACGTCTGCATTCGAAGACTGAAGGTGTCAGCGATGCGACAAGGCTGTCCGATTTCGAAGGCTCCTTCAAATACGGTAGAGAGATTCTCTTCCCGCTCCATGAAGGATTCACCTGGTGGATCTTTCGCAGCCCAACATATCCCCAGATTAAGGTACAGTGGGTGTGTCCCGGCTAGGCGATAGCAGCTTGCGGAATAGCAGGTGACACAAACAGGAAGTTACCGGTAAGCCAGAACGTCCCATTTAACGCTTTCTGTTTGACCTGCGGACCACGTCCTTCGAAGGACACAACCGCTGGCCACAGGGACCTCAAATGGGTGAGGTCACGTCAGGTCACAGATGTGGCGACGATACCAGCATGCATGGACATATGGGGGGGGGGAGTCACCCATGTGCTCTCAGTGGTAGCTGTGTACATAGGGTTAGCAACCCCCCCCCTCCTCTGGGCCGTGCTCATAGAGCAGAACGTCGGGCGATTCAGTCAAGCTGCGCTCACCTGGCTCCGACAGAACGCATCCTCCAAACGGTCGGCTCAGCAGTGACCCCCTCCCCCTGCCCGCCCAACCTGGGAGGGCTCTTTTGCTGAATTTACCAAACCGTTAGAGCCGTTCGTGCAGAAGCTGCCCTGCTCCGTGACGCTGCCGTGGCCCTCCTACGGTTTGCTGACATCATTATTTCTTTACTGTGACAAATTTTTTTACTTTTGAGGACTTGGCAGTTTTTTTGTCGTGGCAGAAAGATGGTGGGTTTGCTAGCAAGACTCCAAACATAATTGTATTCTGATTTGCTCAGCTTGCGTGGCTCTCGAGATCAGTGTCCTGCTTTGAGGGACTGAAACTCAGGTACCGCAGAGATATGAGAGGGTCCCACTTTTTCTAGCCGCAAACAGAATGTTTGTTTATGCATTTTAATCTCCCCATATGTTTGTTAGTAAGAATGGCATCAGGGAAATGAAGAAAATGTTTGTTCAACTGGCGTGAGTTTGTTCGTTCGACAGGCATTTGTTCATTTGGCAGGTGTTTGTTCATTTAGCAGGAGTTTTTGTCCAGCAGGTGTTTGTCTGACAGGTACACTGCCCGGCCAAAAAAAAGTCGCCATTTCAGTATTGGACTACTGTTAGCTTTATGATTATGGTGCACATTTGTCATGGCATTGTTTCCACAAGCTTATGCAACATCTCACCCTTTATTTTAATCCAGATCTGCATTCATTTTTCACCGAGATCCTGTATTGACAAGTGAGTTGAACCACTCCATAAAGCCTCCTTTATCACATCCCAAAGACCTTCAATGAGGTTAAGATCATAACTCTGTGAAAATGATTCCTCATGCTTCCTGAACCACTCTTTGACAATTTGAACCCAATGAATCTTGCCATTCTTGTCCTGGAATATGCCCATGAAAACGGGGAAGAAAAAATCCATTGATGATGGATGGAGGTGTAACCTGGACATTCAGTAGATTCAGGTACTCAGCTGACTTTACTTTATTGCTGCATAACGTTGCTGAGCTGTAATAATGACCCAGCAGGCTCTAAAGTATTTGCTTATATAAATTCAAATGGTGACTTTTTTTTGGCCGGGCAGTGTATTTTTGTTTGTTTGTCCGGCTGGTGTTTTTGTTTGTTCGGCAGGTGTTTTTGTTTGCTGGTACATTTGGCAGTCGTCCTTTCAGCTGTCCCGCTTATCTGCCTCAACCGATTTGAAGAGGAGTCTTGTGTCAGCTGGCCTCTGCGACCGCACTGTTACTCGCCGCAGTGACACTGAGCTGCTGCAGTTTGGTTTCTGCTTTCCCAGGGGATGCGTTGAGCGTAACGATATTTGTGCGCCGCTGATAAGGACCAAAGATCTTACTCACTAATCATTTCACGGCCTGGTACCTTGACATTGGAAGCACACGCTGGAGCCCCTGCGTCTTTACACCATGTCCTACAGTACACTGGCACAATTATTAAGGAAATCGATTGTGAACCGTGTCAGACTGCCGGCACAAATACCCTCCTCTGCCCAGTTAATTTGTGAGCGTTACCTTGAAAGCCTTGTAAACAAGCCGATTTACATGATAGACTATTGCAGTAAATAAGGTAAAAGCAGCAAGCGGACAGCTAATCGCCGTTTACGTCCCAGTTAGGTTTTGAGTGTGGTGTTGCAGTGGATTTGGACAGTTGGATCCCAGTTAAATATGACTTGGCTGGTTGTTTTTGTCTCCTGTCACTCAGGCACCAATGTGCAGGAAGCCAGACGGATCCTGAGTGAAAGTGGGCTGCCCATCGTGAGCGCCAGTGACCTGGATGATGCCGCCAAAAAGGCCGTGGGCAGCATCGGCAAGAAGTGAGCCGCCCGCGGCCCTGTGCCACCTACACCTACCTCCACGGGAACCGGCCTGTCGACGTGAAGAACGCCTCCACCCACATCACACTACTGCCAGTGCTGACACCATCCCCCCCCCCCCCCCCGAGGAATTTATTTTTGCCATAATGATTAAAAAAAAACATGAATTTAAATCATATAAGCATTCCAGGTGTACTACTTTTCTTTCAAAAAGATCATTGGTAAATGGATAGAGTATAAAAAAAAAAATGCAAGCTTGTGGAATGTGCAGCTGCGTTTTCCTGCGTGAGAAGCACTGTGGTGAGGCTTAACAGTGCGTCTTGGCAGGAGGTTAGCATACCGCTAACGCTCTTACCCGGTGTGTGAACCTGCTCTGTCCTGCCAGCACACTGTTTTTGCCATGAGTGAAGAAATAAACTCTCGGTGCCTTAAAGATTTATGTTAAACAAACCTAAACTAAATTACTTTCATGAGAGACTCCTGAATATCATTTTTAAAAAGCTCTCAAATTGATTTTTTACTATTGTAATTCCAGTACTTTGTCCATAATCTGTATCCGTGGTCAGGTGCCTGTATCGTCCAGGAAGATGTGATAAGTGCCAGAATACTCTGCGTTTTCATTTGGAAGCATCTAACCGTGTTTGTTTGGAAGGTGACTTATTAAAGTGGTGTGTTTTGTTTTCTTTTAATCCTGGATGTGTTTTGTGCTCTGTTCTATTTTAAAAGAGAAGGAAGCGAGTCGGATTTGCACCATAACCGTGCTATCAGTCGCCTCCACGGTCGTGCTCCAGGTTTGTCGGAACAGTGAATGCTTTGTGCTCCTAACATGGAGAAATGGACCAGCCATTGATTTGTGGGTGACGGAAGCAAGAAGATGGAAAATGTTTTCAGTGCCTTTATGGGATTTGTTCATTCTTAAGGCAAATCTAAAAAAGAGGTGGTTTTATTACAGTCTCTCTCTGTGATCCGCACCCTAAACCCCAAAGTGACATTCTGTGCAGAGGAAAAGCAGGCCAGGCTCATACTGCTTTCCTTACTCTCCTGGGTTACTCTGCAGAGGAAAAGCAGGCCAGGCTCATACTGCTTTCCTTACTCTCCTGGGTTACTCTGCAGAGGAAAAGCAGGCCAGGCTCATACTGCTTTCCTTACTCTCCTGGGTTACTCTGCAGAGGAAAAGCAGACCAGGCTCATACTGCTTTCCTTACTCTGCTGGGTTACTCTGCTATATTTGTTTGCATAGATATTACAGTAATTACTGTTGCGCCATACTTTCACAAACCTATGAATTATTAGTTTCTAGAAGGAAAATGAATCTGAATTCCGATGGGTCTCTGTTTAGAGTCCAGAGTAATTTAAATATCCTTTTAATCTACATCTTGTATGTGCAATCTTGTCATAAACACATTCTGACTAAAATTAGTCCATGACTTGTCGGTGATTTGTGGAGAATATGAGTATCTTGCATTAGTACAGTTAAATCCATTTCCTTAACCTTAGCTGTGCGAGCCTGTTTGCCGTCTACACACGTGTGTGTGTGTGTGTGTGTGTGAGAGCAGGTTTACCTATCCTTATGGGGACATAATGTCCCCATAACATGATAAATATCCGTTTTTTTTCCCTTATGGGGACCAGTTTCCTGGTCCCCATAAGGGAAAACTCTATTTTATAAAAATCGGTGACTGCTATGAAAAAACTAAAAATGCAAAAACTCTTGTATTTTGTTAGGTTACTTATGGTTATGGTTAGGGCAGGGTAGGGGTTAAGGTTGTCATAGTTAGCGTTAGCATTTTTCCCATTGAAATGAATGAGCGGTCCCCATAAGGATATGTTTACCCTACATGTGCGTGTGTGTGTGTGTGTGTGTGTGTCGGCAGACACGAGGCAGGGCGCCACCCGCCGTTGAGCAGCTCGCCGTTTGATGGATGACGTGTCACGGGATCTGAGAGCGGACCAGCTGAAAGAGCAAGTGCCGCGGGCTCCTGGTGCCCCCCCCCCAGGGAGATCTGCGGAGAGGCCGTCATTCCTGTCCTTATCGTCAAAGACTGCCACTCCTCCACGGTGTGGAAGGAGGAGGAGCGCGCAGAGAACACTCGTGTGTTGCGGCAGATATTCTACGCCATGGTTTACCTCCGGCCTCAAAGCCGCTGGGAATTGCCAACAAATAGCGTGTCGTGCGCATTACACTGGCAACCCGAGGTATGATCAAGCGGCCGACGGATACGAGGACGCCACAGTAACCATTTAAATGGAATAGATGGCGCAATAATTGCTTATTTCATGCTCTTGGTGTAGGGTGTGCCCGGCTGATGGACCGCGCTCCTGAATTTATGCGCTGATATAGTTTAATTCACAATTTAGAGGTCGTTCAAAAGCCGTGCGCATATACTTATCGAAATTAGTGCTGCGGTATCATATAAATATAGATGAGGCCAAACCACTCGAGGTTACGGTGAGATTTAAATCGCCTGCCACTCGCTTTTAACTTACCGATACCTACAGTGTATAGCTACGAGTAATGTCCCGCTGATATTGTTAAAAGGATCACTTAACTACGCTGAATTATGAGCTTGGGGCCTTAATCTGTCTTTGTGACTCATGCTTATTTATTAACGTAACCGTCCGTATTCGGGTTTAGGAAGTTCCCGCAATCAGCAGTAACTGCTGCTTTATGTGTTTGTGTTATTCCAAAAAAATAAACACCCTAAGCTATTCTTCCTTCCTCAATTCCTACAGGTGACACTCAGGTCAAATTGGTTGTTGGGGAAATATGGGTTATTTATGGTGCAATTTACAGGTAGCAGTCACTAATGTATTAGATCGTAAAAAGCAATAGTGTTTTAAATTGCATGCAGCTGATATTTGGTCCTTCTCTGAGCCGGTCTTACCTTCAGGGGCGCAGAAGCAGTGCGGAAGGTGTTACAGGCACTGAGCCACTGAACGTCCATCTTGCGGTTTCTGGTCCGACGGTGTTACGGGGACTGAGCCTTTGAATGTCCGTCTTGTGGTTTCTGGTCCGACGGTGTTACGGGGACTGAGCCTCTGAACGTCCGTCTTGCGGTTTCTGGTCCGACGGTGTTACGGGGACTGAGCCTCTGAATGTCCGTCTTGCTGTTAACCCCTTTCCCCTGGTTCTCAGGCCCCTGTGAACAGTCACTTGTCAGCACCTTAATAAAGCTCCATTTTCCCAAAACCACTAGGCACTTTTCTAAACCAAAAACACTTAAGACATATAGGCCTAATATTAATTATAAAATGGGAATGTTTAAAAGGCTGTGGAGGAAAAGGCATATGGAAGAACACGGTTTATTTTTGTGTCTGTTAAAAAAAAATCAATTTTCCTTCTCTGAGACTTAACCCCGTGTGAAGGATAATTGAAAGACTTAAAATCCATTCAAATGATCTTCTCTGGCACAGTACTGCGGAACGCGGCTGTGGAGGAGAGGATTTAAGCCTGATCTTGGAAACTATTGTCCGTCCCTTTATTTTACTCGCCACTTGGCAACAGTCTTGGTTTTTGAAGCTGTAAAAATGATTAATATATGATGGCAGCTATATATTATATATAATTTATTAAACATGGGGATATATCTTATCTACCAATCAGTAGTTTGATCATTTTAAGCTTCTTGTTCATCACCAATGTAGCACGTCTGGGAAGTTCCTTTGGCATCCATATAAATGCCCCTTTTTGTATTTTGCATTACCATACTAAATTTAATGCCGTCCCCTGTCTGGCAGAATGACCCAATGCCCCCCTCCGTTAGAGCACCTCAGAAAGTCTTTACACAGCACTGTGCAGAGATATCAATTTGGAAACATTAGCCGTGTTCATGAGCTTCTATATGGTGACTGGTGAGGTTCTGCTTCCCACATTGATGCCAAGAGCCGTAATTATAAGAGCAAAATCACATTGTCCTGATGGGAGAGCCGTTCTGCCTCCTTGTGAATAGTTTAATGATATTGGTGTAAAGTTTGACGTGTGATTATTTGGCTTGAAATCAGAATACACCACTGCATTTCCAAAGCGTAATGTCTGTACTTAGTCGACGATCCACCATAAATGTAACAACTCAGGATTTTGGAATTTGTTGCTAAAATATGAGAATCATGTTTTATTCCAGGTCTAATATTCAACGCATTTAATTTTCTACCGACCAAACTTAATGCTAGAAAAGTTTAAAAATTTTGTATGAGCGAATCCTCTCTGATCCAATTATCTACAAAGAGGTACTGAGAAGGGGGGCTTTCTATAAGCCAGGAAAATACCGACGCAAACCCTAATTAAAAACTCATTTAACGTGACCTGCAAAAGCCTCCCTAATTAAAACAGCATCGTTTTGCTTAAAATTGCCTGATAATTAGATGTTGCCTCATCCCGGCAGAGCTCCGCCGTACGCCACAGGCTTCCTGCTGCAGATGCAGCCGCGGGATGCGCAGGTCCGAGAGGCAGTGAGAGCCACTCGCATTTATAGGCCTTTTTGTCCAGCTGAATTTAATTTTATGGCTATTTAAGTGGCACTGGCTTGTTTGAGACTTTTTGCTTGCTTGCCGACTCCCTTTGTTCTCCTAGTAAGTGTAACGTATTAAACACCGTAAATTTTACATCTCTGAAGTAAGGGCTGAAGAAAAGGTGAAACTTTAACTTGTGTAAGAAATTCTGTGAAGGGTTTGCAAGGTCGAGCTGGTGTGCTGGCAGTGAGCCTATACGGCAATATCGCAGTTTCTAAATTGCAAGTAATGTAGATAGTAGGGGGGTTCTTTTTCATTCTCATTACACGCTGGTCTTTCTGCGATTGGTCAGGCTGGGTGTATACTGAAGTGTTTATAAACGCTCGGCCGCATATTTACGGTTGAAGGTGACTTTCCCAGTTAACGTTAATAACCCGGATCGCTGCCACTTTGCCCGCAGGATACCTGTGCATGTCAGGTACCATCCGCGTCAAATAACAGGCAGGCGGCGCTCGATAGGGATCTGTCAGCGGCGAGGCGGCGATGGCGAGGGGTGCCGGTGCGGGGGGGCGGCTCCTCTCTGGTGAGATGATCATCTCTGGCACCAGCATCTCGCAGGCCGATCGGCGGTCGCCGTTTCCGCTTGTGTATTCGCCTTTGTGTTGTTCGGCAGTAGATTAATTTTGATTGAAGGGCGGCAATTCATATATGCTGGGTGATTCTAGTCTGTGAAAACTGCAATGACTTCTGTGTTATGGATGCCCTTATCTGAAAATGATGGAGAAGAAACGTGTTCACCCCCTCAAACCCTACAGGTGTTCATTCCCACCCTCATTCAGCGATGAACCTATTCATGTGACTAATATTGTAACAGCTATTTCAGCTGGCAAAGGCTTCCTGCTACCCTAGTGTACTTTCTAAGTGTGTGCACGTGTGCCGTGTGCCGTGTGCCAAACGCCCATCCGATGCCGGGCTGCACCCACTGCCCTATGCTTCTGGGTAAAGGTTTCAGACTCATCGCCATCCAGGTTTAGCACTTATGGACTATAACGCATTGTGTAGTGAATAGCCGAGTTTGTATGAATGCAATGTCAGAATAATGGTTTAGTGGGGGGGTTGTGGAGGGTGTCTGTATAGCCCATGATTTGAAAGAGCTGAGGGTGTCTCTCGTTGTGGGCCCCCCAATCCGAGGCCCGCGTTTGAGCATCACTTCCTGAATACCTGTCAGACATTTCCTAAA